CGCAGCTGGAGACACTTAGCAGGTGACAGTGCAGCTGATGTATGTTCATCAGCCCTGCTAGAAGCTTGATTTGCACTGGTAGCGTCGTTTCCCATAATAGGGAAGAATTGGAGGCTCGTCGTATGAAGAATGCTTCCACATATTATTGATCAAATGCACCCAAGCATTGAATTTCTTGGCAGCTCCATGTTTCTCACTCAACTTATCCACAATTTCATTTCTCAGTGAACTAATACGCTTGGCTGTAGGTAGTGCCTCAACATTCTCATGAGTTCGCTTCCTCCTGCTTTCATTCTCAAGTGTGCTATTCTCAGGAGCAGCAGATAAACACCAGAGTCTAATTTCACAACGCTTAGAGCAATGTTTCTCGTACATTTTCAATGTCACTGGTAATAGCATTATGCCAACCATTTCAAGGATACACATACGTACCCAACATCCTCTACAAGGCTACCAAGCTCTATTGATAGTTCATCCTTTACATCCTGTTGTGAGTTGAATTTTCCATGATGGCTGAGCTTATGAACGAAAATATTGCGCTGAGGGTTAACTAAATAGAATCTACTTACATCTACTTACACCAATGCTAATCTCCTTGTTTGACTCATCATTTTCGTCCTCAGTGGTGAACAAGCAAACCCCGCGTGCGACATGGTGACCCAAAAAGAACTTGAAGTACTATGGGGATCAGTAGAGCCACATTCGTGTTGCGAAAACATTGAGCACAAAGTATTCTCACGAGCTCGTGCACTTGACCATACTCACCAAAAGAACGCAGGCGGCAAACACGAATAAACCCGGACACAGAGGCGGAAAAGTACGGACGGAATATCTTTAATCAAAGAGCAATGGGTGTATATTAAAACAGACTATGAACAAAAGACACAACACACACAGACAGCAGAAATATACTAGGCTGCACTCACAGTAAACAGTAAATAAAACACATATTATGCATGATACACCTGTAGTGCTTATGCAAACACACTGTTTTAATAAGCATAAACTCTAGATATATTATAGTATGTAGCATCCAAGCCTTGCAGCATCACAGAAAGGCTAGGCAGAGGGTGAACCGTATGAACAACTAACCTTTTTTGAGCATGGGCATTAGGCTTTAGGCTAGCTGGTCCAATAAAATTCTACCACTCCCCGATTTATTTTCAAACAAATGTGAAATGAAATGCAGTGTTTCCCACAGGGTAATATTCAAGCAGGGTGCTTATGAATTATTAATTACCTCAGCTTTCTGGCTGAAAAAACATTACTTGCTGCTAACTTTTCAAAGCGCTCCCTGTTGGGAAATCCCCTACTGGTCTAAAGCCTTTCAAGTGCTATTCTATAAGCAGCGCATTACTGCGCACAGTGTAACCGAAGTAACAGTCGCGCTAGTTGTATTTTACGCATGCGCAATAATTGTACACGCCCATTTTCGGGATTTTTCAATCCGGGCGGAGCGCCCGGTAGTTATAATGCTGCGGGGAAACACTGAAATGGCTTGAGCAAATATCAGTTAAAACTTTCCTATGAAACACCCATGAAACACCCATGCTTGTGCTCAGTGATAAAGTCTGCGGTATTTTCTACAGATCTGAAAGCTACAGCGTGTCACACTTTTACTTGTCATTGAAGTAGGCCTGAACCACCTCACTCCTATGCAGATTGCAGGTTGTGAGTGCGGTTGGGCCTACACTTTGATGTTGGTGGTATACTCAAAAACGTTGTCTTAAGCTTGCAGCCTCAGTGTTGTGCACTACGACCTTGATGGAGGTTGTGCGTAGCCTGTTATAATGGATGGTTGTGACTACGTGGTTAGCTTGTTTTTGGTATGGACATACATGGGTTGTACAGTACATATATAAGGGAGACTGGGTATGTACACTGTGTGCTTCGGTTTGCCATCCACACAATATCTTGCTATCCTACTGGCTTGCATTTGCCGGTGTCGATGGCTGTTAATGCCATAGTTTGCCATGGTTAGAAAATCTGGTGGAGTTTTAGTGTAGGCAGATGTGCTTGAAGTTCCTTGTTTCTGGAAATGCACATCTGCCCCTGTTCCAGGACAGGCATATAGGTTTGGCCTTTGGTTGGAGCATCTGCTTTGTCTTTAATGTCCTCCTCAAAATTGCTCCTGGGAAGCCACAGTGTTGCCTTCTTCGTTGCGAGAGTGAGCAAACCACAAGCCTCTTTCTCCGGCCAATTCCGTTGGAACCCTTTTTTTAAATCATCCACCCTCTCCTGCCATATTTTAATGCTTGCTGCGCCTGGAGGCTCATATCTCTGACTTGCCCTTGACTGTGGTGCTACCCATTTACATACATGTAGCTTGGTACGTAATGACACATCATGTGTGGACGCCGAAAGAGGAGTTTCTGCTCGGTTGAGATACATATCGGATCATGTGGAGCTAGGCTGGCCTTGTTCATTCATGCCCACATACTGCAATCACTTGTGGGGTAACTGCGAGTTAGTTGTCTGGTTGGCTCGCTCCGCCTCGGTTACTATTGCGCATTCCAACAGGGTGGAGTTTTGCCACTCTCTACTCCCTTGTCATCTCTTAGAGCGTGTTTGTGCTGTGTTGCTCTCATAGAGGGCTGGGATCGACATTCCCTTTACTGATCGCAGTTAGTCTTGAAACAAAAACTGAGGAACAAAGCTGGAATCAATATACACAGAGAGCTACTGCTAACTGCCTAGTGTTTATGCTGCTGTTAACTGTGTAACTGTTGATGCAGGGACAGTGGTGTTATTACATGTTTGTTAGCAAAAATTGTTGTGTATATAGATACTTTTTATAGGTTCTTGGGTCAACTTTCGAGGAGATGCACATACTATAACATGAGAGGACACAAGCAATTTAAAATTAAATATTATAAAGCTGGCGCACTACCAGTAATTGATGGGCTAGGCTATTATACATACTCGTGGTCTCTTGCCACAGGCTAGCCACAACACTAATAGATAGTATGCGAGACTCAATACTCACCCTACGTTGCAAATTCTGCTGCCTCCAAGGTATACAGAGCATGCGAATCTGCTCCTGTACTATATTGGCTTTTTGACTTGTTTTTCAAGCCATAACTCTCCAACACAGGTTGATGGTTAGAACAAGCCATCACCTTTTGTAGGGTAGGTGGGACAGTATGAGACACAATTACTTAATTTAGTTCAGTTCCAAAAATCAAATGTCTTGTGCAGAGGCTACTCTATTCCGACTTGCTATACACCTTGTTTCTGTTTGTTTCATGAAAAATTAGGTATAGCAAATATATTGTTTGCGATGGAAATATGGCCTTACAGTATAAAATAACATTCCTAATCATAAATCCTGTTTCACAGATCACAGATTGTTTCAATTTTTTTGTACCTGCTCTCTTCTGGTGTTTGACTTCTATAATTATACCTGTGTTGGAAGAGGAACAGATGTTCCTTTATCACAGAGTACAGTATAATAGGTTAATACGTAGAGGAATAGATCAAGTAACTTTAAAATCTTTCGAATTTAAGAGGCATGTATTAAAAAAAAGGAAGACAAGATAGGGATGGGATACATACATGAAGCATGGTTAAAGAACAGATTTGAGCACGCTGATACCCTGACACCATCACAAAATCCCTATAGTTTTGCCTGGTGTGCCAAACAAGATTTGGACTATGTAACAGTGTTGATTAGTCAATAGCATGACTTTTCAAGGTATAGGCCCTGATATGTATTGTATTGCAAAAGTGAATGTTTAATACTTCACCTAGGCAACAATGTAGGGATTTGTGATGGGTCAGAGTGTCAGCATGCTCCTCTTGAGGAACAGGTTGAAGTGCTAATTTTATCACTAAACGTCTCCAGGTTTAACGGTGGTATGCAAACTCATCATGTGATCTTTCATTTCTTCTTGCAAGTCTATAATGGATCGTTGCGGTCTTCCATGGTAGACACAGAAACACACCATTTTGTGTAAACTAAGCAGCACGTTCCTAAAAGGTCGTTGTCATGATGTGCGCGCATTAGTGCCGCGCTCACAGGCGCGTATCAGGACGAATGCGTTCAAAAAATGCTAGGTGCCATGTTGACTACCTACTACGCACATATCGACAACTAGCAAGCATGCCTTATGCTGTTGGTTTGCTAGTTAAATCTTTGTGTCCAACGGCTGTGTTTCAGCATCCCGACTCCATCTCGCTACAAAAGCTGGCTTGCAAAATTTTGCTCTCTATGCCAGGCAGTGGTGAACAAGTTGCCGAATCAGTTTGTTGTGCACATCATAAAGTAAATGCCACATAGTCAGGGCAGTTCATTAAAAAAGTGAAGAACAAAGGGTCACTATACAGCTAGGACACTCAAAGCTAAATAACACCATACCTATATCCTTGTTCTATTGTGCATAAGGCCAAGGCTAGGTTTTCACAAAATTTGGGCACGTACACATGTGCAGGCACGCATCTGCAAGTGTGCGTTGTGCACTCAACAAAACTAAACTTTTCAAAGTCCTGCAAAATCTGTTCTTAGTCTTTGCGAACACACGAGGTTTATACGTAACAAGCAGCCAACAACACATGCGCCATGAAGGATATAGGCTGTTGGCCAGTGTGAGCCCATTCCTGTCAAAGACCTCCGAACCCTATTCTAGTTATTATGCATTGATCATAACTGAGGTATGAAGCAAAGGAAGCCCAAAGTAAACAACACAATAGACACTCTGCAGTCATGTAGGATGAAACTCCTGAAAAGAGGAAACAACTCTATTCCTTGTAACTGCTATTCAATGTACATAGTCTGCTGAGCTGCCTGTTGCTTGTGGTAACAGAAACCACTTCGGCATGGTTACACAGTTTACTCCCTGGACGCAGGTAGACCACCTGTTTGATCTTTGATCAGTCTTTTCTGGCTCATTTTTAGAATAGTTAAGCTACCTAGACGGTCGTAGTACGGTCGATATAGCTATCATTGTGTTTTTAAATTGCCATTTCTTTGTCAGTAATTTTTACATTTTTTTTGTTTTCAGAGTACCTGATTCACAATGGACATATGAATGAAGATGAAGCTAGGAAGAAATTTTCACAAATTGTGAAAGCTGTTGATTACTGCCATCAACACAACATTGTTCATCGTGACCTAAAGGTTATTTAGTTATTTACTGCACGCTGTAATACATAGGTAGCATACAAGTTCAAGGTATTTGCAAATAGATCTTGATGGAAAGGCACTGAGCTGGAAGGTCATTTTTTGGTATGTTTTTGGCTGTTTGTTCTTTAGCGTCCATGTGTAGATGTGTTGTGTAGAATAGAGTGTTCTCACGGTCACGTGATCCCGCGTGGTGGTGTAAAGCTCAGCGCACGGCATACTGCAAAGATAACTGGATAACTGAGTCATAAACGGCGTCCTGGGTTTTTATCAGCGATAAGGGGATCTGACCCAACCGAAAAGAGAATTTCCAAAAACAGGATATGCTCTAGACATTTTATCTCGGGGAAACCAGCTTGCCTAATGGACGAAAACAGCCCCAATTGGCGACCAAGTCTGAACCTTCATCACAGCAACCAGGTCAGTGAGTGTAAGGCAAGAGCCGCTGAGGAAAGGTGGGAAAGAGTGCGAGCACGGGACTCGCAGATTACTGAGTCGTGTGGTATCCTCCAGCATCTGCAACCTGGGGACATAGTCCTTACTGATCGACATCGGCTTCGACATCGCTGACAGCGTTGGTATGATGCAAGCATATCTGCATATTACAGCCTTTACAAGGGGAAACATCAGGTCACGGCACTAGAATTTGAAGATTCTCGAACTGTAACAAATGATCATATTCATGTCGAACGTGTTATTGGACTAGTGCGTCAAAAATGCAGCATTCTAATAGGAACCCTACCTATCGAGTTTTAAAGTGCAATATCCAATGAAAACAGTCCGCCGCCAAAATCCAACGAAAACAGTCCACAGTTCAAAATATTTTATGATGTACAAATATGGTATATGGATTCTGTTCAGTTACTTTCTATATTAATTTCTGTTTTTTTTCCCCTTTTGAATTCAGGCAACATACGACAGTTTCGGCAATACCATTTACCTTTATGGATTGACTTTATTATTAGGCACTCGGTGTGGTATCATTCGATACTGCACCTGGGATTATCGCACACAATCCAAGTTCGTTCGTTGTCTTCTGGTTGCCTGCAGTCAGTAACTTAGTTACTATAATCTCAGTCTCTTCACAAACAGCCAAAAGCTCTGTATAATTATATTTGAGATACTTCCCATCAAACAGTTGCTGCAGTGGCTTAGGAAAAGATGGTTGTACGCCACAATATCGCTTGCTTCAACAGCAGGCAGATTGGACGGAGCAGCAATGCTAGCGTCGGGCGGCAGAAATGGATCTAGACAGGCACTTTTCTTCTTCACTCCTCAAACTTGCTAACGAGAGCACGCATGCATATTACATTGGTTCCTTGAAAACCACTTTTGGTTTTAATAACAACATCCTCGGGCACTTTTCTTTAAAATTACATCTTCACTCTCCAAACTTCCTAACGGTAACATGGGTGGAGATGAGTGTTGGTATGTGTGCGTATTATATCTTTTGTGAACAACAAGTAGCTTCAGACACATTTGTCTTCACTCATCAAACTTGCTAATTTGTAAACATGATGTATTTACCTAGCCTAGTTAAAAACCTGTTTACAAGGGAGTAATTCATATACTTGGAAACAAGAAGGTAGTCTATTAAAAGTTGCTTCCGCTGGGGCAAACACTAGCCTCGCCCTCTCTCTCCGTGCAAATTTTTTCATGTGACCTTTGACCCCAAGAGTTAAGCAGAGAGAGGGCCTGGTGTATTTCATCACGTGAGTTAACGCGTTCGGTAGACACCGTTTTGACGCTAGTACATTCGGGTATTGTACATTTTGATATCATAACCTATGCGTGCAAATACAGGACCATGAACCAAGCCCGGAGAGCAAGATTGGTGAAAGATGACGATGCAATGTGGGCTTATATTAGCTCTGCGGAATGGCCGTATGAATGCGTGAGAAAATGGGAGAGGTAAAAGCGAGCGTGCATGTTTCTGTTAGTCTTAGGCAACCTTCCTATAAGTATGCCAAAGTGCATTTAGACAGCCATTCCACAGAGTCTCCGCAGCAGCTGCACTGCTAAGGGCTAATACAAGCCCACGTGGCATCGTCATCTTTCACCAATCTTGCTCTCCTGGCTTGCTTCAAGGTTCCGTATTTTCCCGCGTAGGTTACGATGTCAAAACATAAAATCCTGTCTACCTGAATGTACTACCGTCAATATGGTGTCAACCCAACGTGTGACTAAATATACCAGGCCCTCTCTCCGTTTAACTCTTGGGGTCAAAGGTCATACGCGGAGAGAAAGGGCCTGGGAATGAGGCTAGTGTTTACAGAAGCAACTTGTAATAGACTGCCTTGTTGTTTCCAAGTATATGAATTACTCCTTTGTAAATATGTTTAACTAGGCTAGGTAAACACATCGTGTATATGAATTTGTAAATACGTTTTTTACTCTTAGCAACTTGAGGAGTGAAGAAGAAAACTACGCGTTTTGTTGTTTATGTAATCACAACGTACGAATGGTGTTTGTTCATATATGCCCTCTAAAGTGAGAGGAGACAAGTGAATAAGAATCCTGCCCATTTTTATGGAGGAGGAATGTCACACAATCCCTATACTTTTGCTCAGGTTAAGGATTAGATATTGCCATTATGTGTTTTAGCAGGAGCTATAGCTTGAAAAGGCACGTGATGAAGCAACCATGTAGGGATTGTGTTATGGGTTCTGGGGTATCAATTTACTCACAATCTCAATGCCCATCCCTGTCTTGTCTCCCTTCGTTTTATTGAAACCCAAGCTCCTTTGATGAAGGCAAAAATTACCTAAAGTGTGACTAACCTAGCATGAGACCATTGTTCTTGCCAGTGATCACTCGCCAAGCACGGTATACACTCAAGAACAAAGTTGTTTTTGTCCAACACTATTGTCACGGAGATAATGGCACTTGAACTCTTGTAGACAATGTTTAGTAACATAGTGGATGGCTGAATTTGAGATCTGCTTTCGATTGCTAACACCAATGATATGCTTCAGCATCTTTAGCATTAGGGAACTAAGAATCAGATTTTTCGTTGTTCCTCTTCTGGCTCAGAGAATTCTTAACCCTTCTCTTGTGAGCATGTGCAAGCTTATAGTTTTTTGAACCACGCTGTTCAAAAGAACACAGCGTCTAAACACTGCAATAACTGTTCATTTTGTGCAGGGTTTACTAGTCTAGTAGAGCAGTGCTTATAATGAAACCTTTCTGCTTATAAATAAGAACGCCCATGCAATAGTAATCCAATACTTTGCTACTTGTCCATTCGGTTACTACAGTGTTGCTTCCATGTACTCATTTTTACCTTGCTATTACTACCTCTCATTTAGGCTGAAAATCTACTGTTGGATTCTAATGCAAATGTCAAACTTGCAGGTAAGATATATTCTGACTATTTTACGTAAAGTACTCCAACTGTTGAATGGTGAATTGCCTATTATTCAGACTCCATGTTGTTTTTGTCATGTTTAAATATGGTACTTGATCTCGACTTTCTCATTTCGGTTGCAAAGTTATCAGTGTAGTGTGAGGTCGCATGCTTTTCAAGAAGCCTGGCTCTTGAATTAGGTGCAGTGAAGACAAGATTGTTTGTGTGTTACTAAGGGATGTTCCTGCTATCCGTATGCATAAGCCTTTGCTGCAAAGCCAGATCACTTGGGAAATGTTTTAGCCTTTTAAAAGTGAGTTTTGATATCACCTTTAAGTGTCTCCATGAAGATGTATACAAAATCCCATGAAGTTAGATGGAGGAATATAAAAAGGAAAGAAGATAGGATATATGTTTTTACAATTGTCGGCTGAATAGAAAAGAAAAACATTCTTTTGCCTTCTACCCTGAGACTCGCACTTTCTTGGAAGACTCACTGAGTACGTCTTAAAGCTGTCATCAAGTGCACAGAACAAGAGCGATTTCCTTTTGGTCTGTAATTTGGACTGTTGGCTTGTTCCAAATCCAGTATTGACACCAGTTCTTGGTCTAATTATGTTACTGTAAGATCACCCTCACCGGCATGTTATGGTATGTACTCAGTCTAGTGTTTGTTGTTTTTTCCCTATTATAATATCATCTGCTGTCACTTACTGTTATTTTGTATGTTCACTGTTGTGTTTCACACATGTCTAGCCTCCCTGGCTGGCTTCCTTCTTTGTCCTTACATTTAAGTTGCTGGACAGCTCATCAGAACTTAATGATAAGCTCACGATGGCCTTGTCACTAGCATGCTGTGTGTTCACAAACATGCCAAAAACAAATACACTTTCTGGTAAAAATACACTCAGAAAACAATGTTTTCAATGGTTGAGTAACAATCGGAAGAAGTAAGGTACAAAAACAATGTGGTGCCATGTCTCCTAAGCATGTGTGTGTGATCACGAGACTACGAGTGAGTGCAGTAACAGCAGCGGCTAATGTGGTGAACTGCACAAACATAGCAAACTGACCTGGTGTAGTGGAGTTACTATACGCGCAAGTAGCTACGTATGTGCTGGCCTGACTTCCTATCCCTTGTCAACAGCACAAACTGACATGGAGCAGCTTGGCCATGTTCGACATTCTGTCACCTGCGCTGACGAAACTGAAATGCTGTACGTATGTGTAAAACGAGCTAAAGCTTCAAAGATTATAAAGGCAGAGACGTGCAGTAGTGGTTGAATGTTTCTTTTCCAGGCGTGTTAACAACAAGAGCAAAGGCAAACAAATGAACTACACTGAGGTCAATTTTTCAAGGAATAGAGTTGCGTGGGATTCGACAATACTCTTCAGTTAAGGCGAGCTTTCTGCCAAGTAAGCTACTAGAGCGACTAATCTGGTAGGGTGTTTGAATCTACAACACAATACACTGTGCACCTGTGTTCGCCTCCCATGTAGTGTAGACTAATTTATCAACACAGTAAAAGAACTTGGATGCATGGGAAGGATTTGGCAGTGGTGATGTTGGATTTGCATTTGTAGTGCTTTAGATTTAGCTTTTCGCTGCCGAACTGGATTGTTTTATTCCCATTCCAGATTTTGGATTTAGCAACTACTATCATGGACATGAAATGCTAAAGACGTGGTGTGGGAGTCCACCCTATGCTGCCCCAGAGTTATTTGAGGGAAAGGAGTATTCTGGTCCACAAGCTGATATTTGGGTACACCATAAACAGTACACCAGTCATGCCCGTTTTAATGGAGAAAGTGTGGAATGGCTGTGCTAAAATTTATTTTCTGGTAGTATAAATAACTCTAAAGTCCTTTGCATAAGTGTCCAATGTTAATGAGATGTAAATCTGAAAATATACTACCGTTCAAGCCATAAATTTTCGTAATACATGCGGTCGGGTACCCTTTAAACAGGAGTAAGTAGTCTAACTGAATAACCGATCAACAACACATGTATTAGTATCCGTTTTTTATCCATAAAAACCGTTGCTAACGTTTATGAGACTCCATGAAATGGCGACCAGACTCCTGTTGGTGATGTCAGTGTGCTTGCGGTACGTAGAAAAGAACAAAAGAAAAAGTTTCTCTCGGCACTGCGTAGCAATTTTCACATGCTTTGTGACAGGGCACAAAAATTAAGTGGAAAAGCAACCTGTTGATTACTACAGGCTTATCGACACTTTTCGATGCATGATATAGGAGCTAGGGGGTTTAGTAGCTCTATTCCTGTTACAGAAGAGATGTAATTGTGTGTATAGCATACCTAGCAATATTTTCCATCCACATAATACTTGTGCTGGCATATTATTTATTCATGGTACTACAAATTTTTCAGAGCCTTGGTGTTGTACTGTATGTAATGGTGAGTGGAGCCCTGCCATTTGATGGAGCCAATCTGCAGCAGCTGAGAAGCAGAGTTCTTCTAGGTCGTTATCGTGTTCCTTACTATATGTCAGAAGGTTTGTAGGTCTATGCTGTTTGTTTTATTCATTGATTCTTAGTAAAGATAGTCCATTGCTAAGGGCTCTTGGACGGTGAATGCCATTCAGGATTGTATGAAGACGAACTTTAAGTCAGACTCTCAAGAGACATTGCCATAGTCGATTTGTGCAGGCGTCCCTACAAACCTAGGGAGATTAGCCTCTTCCCCAGGCTCCCCCTCTCGCACAATTTATGCATATGGCCTTTGAAATGCAAACGGCCTGGAGCCTTGTACCTTTAGGCAAGTGAGCACCATCACAAGTGAACACTGTTTGATTAATACGCTATGGAGTTGCTGGGTTACAAGGAAAGTTATTTGAGGACCAGGCAGAGGACAAGTAAATTGCTAGAATCCCTTCTCGAGTATCGTAAGGAGTGGTCATGATACGATGCCTTGAGTAATTTCAATCTGGCGTTATGTACAAGCTGCTTCTCACCCTTACTTATTACCCGCATTATCAACAACCAATCACGAACCCTTTGGGGATGAGATATATGCAGGCACCAAAGATCTTTGGTCAATACCATAATATAGCCTCTTCTATCTTGACGCCAATGTCACTCAAATGATTATCTGTTTTTACTTTTTCCTCCTTAACCACCATAATATTTTAACAAGCGAGGAGGTCAACAGCTTCAACTTTGTCAGCGTCGTTTAATCTAAGACACTTCTGCTTAGGATTTACTACAAAAAGATATGGCCAATCTAAGTTCAAATGAATAAGCTATGCTCCCATCATCAAAGGATTATTGGTTAGTAGTCTCACTTAGTGGCACAGACTAGTAACAATTTCGTCACCCTGAAACTGCTAGAAACCTACGCCAAACACTCGAGCAGCACAGAGCAGGGGTGTGTGGCAAATACACAAGGTTAGGTGAGGTGATCCACCAAGATTTCTGGATCAGTGCCTTATGCTTCCACATTATCGTTCCTTACATTTGTTGGGACCACTGCACAACTCTACTATGGAAATGTCACCAGACCATTTCTCCTCACCTCAGAGTCTGTTTGCGAAACTAGATTCACACAGGGTCACCGCCTAACGATCATAATGCATTTTAATGTAGTACCACGGTTTTTGGAGAGATATACTGTAGAAAAATTTTGGTCTAGAAAATTTTGGTTGTATGCATTGTTTTTTCTTTTATTGCAGAATGCGAAAAACTTATTCGACGCATGTTACAACTTGAGCCCGCTAAAAGGATTCCTTTGAATAAGGTGTTAGAGCACCGATGGATGCAAGGAATGGAGCTCGATCTGCAGCCTACTAGCAAAATGAGAGTGTTTGGCTCAAACGAGCACATTTTTTGGAATAGTCATGTTCTTGCTGCAATACAGAAAATGAACTATGATGTGGATCGATGCAAGCAAGTACGTAAGTCCCTGCATGTGTTTAGGTTTCCAATATTTCTCTTCTTTGCCAATGTAGCGCATGTCCCAGTGCCCACTTCGCCTGCCTCATGTTTCCTCTTGTCCCTCATAAGTTTTCTCCTACCCTTACGGCCTCATACGCATGTTTTGTTGTCTACATCTCGTACTTACATTAAGCAGGGCCATAAAACCTATTTTGGGATATTCGTTTGCTATAATTATACATACATGTAAGTGTGACTTTGCTGAGTCACATGGTCCTCTATGTATAATTACAGAATGGCTGAGCCCACATAGTGGGTGGCAGCTATTCTGTATTATATGAAGAAGGTGACAACGAGCATATCAATGTGTTTGGCCTTGTTTCCAGCTAGTTTGTAGGAAATTTCTCATGCAGAAAAGTCCGTCTCACATATCTATGTGGTTGGCCTAGTTTTTCTAACTCAGACAGCTAGTTTGTAGGTATTTTCTTATGATCATGGTTATCCATCCCATAGTCTGATCATCACGTTAGTGTTAATGAAGGGTGTACGTGCCTATGTCACGCACCCTGCTGGTTTCTGCCGGCTTTTTCCGCATCAAAAAAGGTGGACTCGCGTTCGTATAAATAGGCTCCGCATCTCTGGCTGATCGGCCTTTTTTATAGCGAGCGGTGAAAGTCAATTCTTATGACCCATTAGGGTATCAGCCCTGCATACTCTGTCTCGGGAGGGTTGGGTGGGACATTCATATGCTCGACGTCACCTTCTTCGTATAATCCAGAATAGCTGGCACCCACTACGTGGGCTGAGCCATTCTGTAATTATATTTCAGAAGGCTCCGTCTCACATATCAATGTATGTTTGTAGTTGGGTCCACCCTGACTGGGTTGAGGACAGCTCTGCCAAACCCAGTCTGTTTGGACGGCTTGTAATAGAACCGTTGGAACACTGATGGGGTGCTCCAGTCTGCCGCGTCGAGGATGTCAAATGTAGTGACTCCCGCTGTGGTCGTGGCAGCTCCTCGCACAGAGTGTGCCTTGAAGATGGCGGGCGGTGTCAATATGACTCTCTCTCCTTGGCAGACCTCACTCACAAGACTGTGATGCTCTAGGAAGGTCACTCCCTCAGGGTGGCATTGACCAGACCATTCATCTCAGCAGACCTGTCCCTACTGGACCTGAGGTTCAGAAGATACCTCCCTGATGGAGTGACCTTCAAGTCGGCGAAACAGTCCAAACCGCTGGCAGAATTATTCTTCCCAGCCTTCACAGCAAACCACCTGCTGTGTCCCATTACTACACTCCGGGCATACGAGGATAGGACTTGGGAGCACAGGAGGGAAAAGGGTCAAACCCCTATTCCTTACCACAATCAGGCCCCACAGTGCGACAATAGCCCATTGGCTTAAGAGCACGTTGGAGAAGGCATTTATGCTGTCACCTTCCACACGTCCCACAGAGTATTCCGGCTGAGGGGTCTTTCATGGAAAAATTCCTTTCAGGATCCTAGACACTATCGGGTGTTGGCCCAATCCATAACCGTCTACCTTCTCATGCACGGATGAGATAACGGAGCAATATGAATTGATTTAACGGTGCTGATAACCCTGTTGAAGGAGGTTTGCAGGAAGTTTATCACCACTATAGGGTATGAAACGGGATCCCGGTGCCGTTCCGAGAGTGAGTCATACGTCTTGGACGACTTCCGTCTCCACGATGCCAGGAGCAGTTTCGTAGCTCCTTCTGAAACCTTGAACCTTGTAGCGCTGCCGGAGCTAACCCACACGGCTAGTTGGGGGGACCACCTCTGGGAGGCTGTCCGGATGTGTGGCTGATGAGGTCCCTCCTCTGGGGTATCTGGGATGGGATTTCCACCAGCATCTCCATCAGCACTGGGTACCATCCCTGTGCCTTCCATACTGGTGCTACTAGAACAAGTTCTGCCTCTTGTCGGCGAGTCTGTGCCAGCACTCTGCCAATCGGGTTCCACAGGGGATTGTTGGCATATGCTCTGAGCTCGGCCCATCTGTGGCCATGGCCATCGGGTCTCGTCTCCAGCTAACATATGTCTGTAGCTGATTTGTTAGCCTACTGGCAAACAGGTCCACCAAGAGATGTCCCAGCCTTTGGTTGATCTGGTGAAATACATTGGGACACAGTCTCCCGTCTGACTGGTACTTCATGACTCGTGACTCGACGTCAGCTATGGTGTTCAAAACCCCTGCCAAGTGCTGAGCTTTGAGGACAATGCTCCTCTCCATGCACCACAACCACAGCTGATTGGCCAGGCTGTTCAGTTGTGGGGGAACCCCCTAGTTTGTTTATGTGCGTCAGGGCTCACATACTGTCCATCTTCTGATCGATTGTGAGGTTTGTTTCGTCCTTGGCAAAACACTTCATTGCCAGAAAGACTGCCAGGAGCTCCAGGCAGTTGACGTGCATGGTCCTCTCCTCGGGGCTCCACGGTCCCCCTGTCCGGACCCCATTGTATACTGCCCCCCACCCTGTTTTCGAGGCATCGGTATGAATGGTGAAGGAGGAGTTGTGAGCTATCAGGCTCCGCCCATTCCACTGAGTGAAGTGGTCTCTACACCACTCCAACTCCTCTCTGGCCTCCTCTGTCGGCATTGTTGTGGAGGAGTAGTCCTGTTCCTCCTGTAGAGCCTCTCTGAGGCATGTCTGGAGGTTCCTGTAATAAAGTGGAGCCATCGGGATAGCTTGTGTCGCTGCATTCAGAGTTGATACGGAGTGTGACTACAGGACTTTGCCTGCCTCGGCTCTGATCTTCTTGATCTTTCCCCCTGGTAGTTTGAGCTCCGTGAACCAAATGAATTCTATTTCCTCAGTGGGGTTCAGTTCTGACTTGGAGTGATTGATCACTAACCCCAGATTTTCCAGCAGGTATATCACTGCTGTGATGTGGTCTTTCAGAAGAGTCTCTGTCTCTGCCATGACGAAGGTATCGTCTATGTAAATTATCAGACACAGTCCCATCTTCATCAGGATTGGCACAACTGGCCGTTTGGTCTTGGTAAAGACCCACGGAGCTGAGGAGAACCCCAACGGTAGACAGTTGAACTGGTACGTCTGGTTCTTCCATTGGAAATTGAGGAAGTCTCTGTCCTCCTGAGCAATGGGAATCATGACATAGGCATCTTTCAGGTCTATCTTGGCCATCCAGTCTCCTGCTCTTGGCAAGTCTTTCAGCATGTGTATGCCTTCCATCTTGAAGTGCTCGGTCTTCACTGACTGGTTCAGCTTTTTTAGGTTTATCACAGGCCTCTGCCTGCTGTCCTTCTTTGGGACGAGAAACATTTGGGAATAGAAGCTCTTTGAGCTCTCTTCCACCAGGGAGATGGCCTGTTTCTGTAGCATGCTCTGGATCTCTGCCTGCATCACTCTTCCTTCTCTGTGAAGGTCAGCTGAGGAGGCTTCCTGTGTTGGTAGGGCTTCCGCAGGAATTTGATCCTGTAACCGCTGACCGTGTCTAACACCCACTCGTCTTGAGTGATACAATGCCAGGAAGTTGTTTACGCGTCCCGGTAGGGGGAGGTTCCCGCGTAGCTAGGTCCTGCGCTATGTTGCAAACGCCCCTGCTCTGCAGGAGTCGCGTTGAGCTGGAGTTGACATGGTCCAAAAGTTTTTGTACAAAGGGTAGATCTCGAAAAACAAAAACAAAAACCATAGGCTCGGCTATCTGAGGCTGACTTAGTGGCTCAGAGGGTTGAGACCTTTTGGGTGCCGGTTCTCCTTCGGGAGGTACGGCCTGAAGCGTCCTCTTCCTCCGCCTCTGTTGCTGCTCCTGGAAAAATGGCCACCTCCCCGAGCAGCGTTGTGGCAGTTGCCTGACCGAGAAAAAAAACTGGTTATGGCGGGGTGTGCCCGACGGAGCGCTCATCTTTCTGAGAGAACATGTGGGTAAACTTGTAGTTGTCATGGAAATGATGTTACACGCATCCGTACTAAGTTTTCCTTTGCAAAATTAGGGGAGTGTAGAAGTATTTTTAAAGAAAGTGTCTGAGGCTATTTAGAAACATATTTTTGCGTTTTTGGTAGTTGCATTATGTGTCCCCAATATGATGTGTTGTTTTACAGTAAACAACATTGTATACCAACAAATATGTATGATGTTGCACATCCCGTTAAGAATATCCAAAATTTCATTGCTTTATCTATTGACGTCTCTTCAATCTGAAAAATAAGATGAAAAGCTTCCCGATTATAGCCCCATATCTAGGTACGATGCCCATCCCTAGCCTCTTGGGCCCATGCCTTCTCAATCCGCGCGCGGGAGAAGGCCTATATATCGACTTGTTCCCTATTGCGTCAATTGCTGCAAGAGCAATCAGAATGTAGGTTTTTGCCACTTCACGTAAATCACCTACTCTTTTTCTGTTGTCACACGGAAAGGCGGTTGGTTCACGCTGTCCTCTTGCTATTTTTTGACTGGAATTCTCTACTGCGCTCGGGTTTTTTCCCCCAGTTGCAGACAGTGTGGCATTGGCTGAACTCTGAGTGAAAGAGACTCTTCGGTACACGGTGGAGTCTTTGGCACTGGCAAAAACCTAGACTGAGACTCTTGATCGTGTGTAGTACACGCACACCCCTGCATGTCAGCTTATTACGCAATGTTACGATACTGCGGTTCATGATAACGTGACAAAACATTCCTGACAAACAAGTGTCTTATAGGCATTTCACCAGGCCTTCTCCTCTTCCTAGAAGGCATGGCTCCGTGAGGCTAGCCCATCCCTAAGTACACCATACTTGCGCATCGCCGTAACCCGCTCCAATTTAACTCAGTAGTGTTCAATTTTATGTGCAATATGTACACATACATGTAGTTACTCGACAAGAAACTTATGGATGGTTATAGCGACACTCGGGAGCAGCGACAAGCCACAGACAGAGAGCTCGCAGGTTGCAGTGTCTCACTTCAGAGACACCGGAGGTGCGAGAAACACGTCTTTCTCGACACTGTGTTTATGATCGTGCACCATCGCTCTTTCGAAACAAGTCAACTGCACCCATGACAACTCTTTCAAGGAAAAAGGAAGAGCTGCCTTTCAAACCCACAACACTCTGCCTTTAGGCGAGCACTCTCCAAGCTGAGCTACCAGGGCAACTCAGCTGCTAGGGTTCAAGTCTACAGCAGAACAGAACACAAAGAAAAAGAAAAAGAAAAAGAAAAAAGAAGAGCTGGATTCGAACCCATGACACTCTGCTTTTTAGGCGAATGGTTTAATTATGCAACACAGCTTGTTGGACAAACCACTGTGCTATGGCACAGTATACTCTCACTTAGTATGTAGGAGGAGACCGGGGTAATTAAACCACCAAGGTGTCAAGGAGTACCAGCACCGGGATCGTCACATTTGCAGTACCGGTGCTGGGCGTTATCCTTGCAGGCTATTAAACGCACTTAATTACATAAAAGCTCTTCAAATGGAGAGTTAGGAGTTGGTCTCTCATCAAGGGCAATGCACAGGGCATTGTGCAGTTGTGTGACACATCTTGTGTAGCTAGCCCGTGTCAGACTCTCCGCGAGCTACTAGCGGAACTGTGTTCATTGTTGATGAACTTTGTAATAGAAAATTCTTTGTGTCTTAGAGATGCACACATTCATCCTGGGCAGTTGAAAGGTGAGTTGCAGCAGTTCCTTCTGAAATACGTATGGGCTCATTGATATGCAACCCCTGTGAACGCAGTGTGAGATATGGTATAGTCAAGGGGAGATTTTGAAACAGGAGTAATATAGTGGCAAATCTCCAGGTGTGTTTGATACAACATGTGAGGCACCAGATGTGAATGTGAGCGAAGAGAAAGTGGCTTGTCTATGTTTTACTGGGGAAGTGTGACTATGTGTGTACTGTGGGAGCAAAAGTAAGCTCTGTGCAGGTGTAGACAGACGTCACTCTGCTAGGCCTATAACATAACCTCAGATTGTAGTAGGATGCGTGGGCACATCATCGCTCGCCCCGCTTGCCCTGTCTTGTACTGGGAGGGCAGGGTGGGAGTTTGATAAGGTGCTCACTCAGCTTGAAGCTGTTGCTTCCTGCACGCTTGCCAGGGGACCACGCGATGTGCACATGCGCCAACGCTGCGCCGCTGCCTCGCTTGTCCGTTAACCTAGTTTAACCTACTATGCTCGTCTTGTGGGTTGCCAACCCCATTCCCTTGCCCCTCCTCCCATCTTCCCTTGCTGCACTTACGTAGTCATGCCTTTCGGCATTTTTTGGGTTGGGTCAACCAGAGTGAAAGGGGGGCCCTTAGCACACACTCTGGAGGTGCCCCCTATCATCTGGGGGATAATTGGTGCTGTTTGCACCACTAATCATTGAAATTTTACCTACAAACTAGTTGGGCCACATTGATATGCTCGACTTCACCTTCTTCATAAAATAGCTAGCAACCACTATGTGGTCTGACCCATTCTGTAATTGTACCCCCTACAGTTGGAAATCGTACCTGGGAAACTAGAGTTATTGGTAGGTAGTTGAAAACAGAGAGGCAGTGAGACAACAACTGTGCCTACCGTTAGTGTTTAAGTGTAACACGCAATACACGGAGAAACAGTTGTGCGTGGTTGTATGTGTAACAACTGCAGTAGTACTCCCAATGTAACCGGTACACAGTGAAAAGCACAGAAATATTAGAAGGGGAGGAAGTGCTGAGACTGTATACATTGGTTAAATATTACCCTTCTCCAAGATGACCTCGGGAAACTTGCCGGAAGTCAAGTTGCCGAAGATTACGCACAGAAATTGTTGTATGTATACGTTTTTCATTGACAAAATACTTGCAGAACAATTGATCACTCAGTCACCAGTTTTTTTTTCAGAATCCTGCACTCAATGTGCATCCTCATACATATTCAGACATTGTGATCATGATTGCGCATGACAGGACTGTACAAACCTCTTTGTTGAACACTTGCTATGTTCTTGATGGAAGTACAAATTCTTGGTCTAAAATACCTTGTTCACGGTTGGCCAATTCTTCAGTAGTGGTATCAAAGTATTTATGTGCATGCACCTGTTCATTAATTTTTAATTTCTAAAATCTTGTGCTAAAGTATGAATGGTGTAGACCTAATTCATTATTTCTATCTCTATTTGTACCTCTAGGCTGTCCAGTCTCGTTTGTATGATGACTACGCTGCACTGTATTATCTTCTATTAAACAAGTGGGAACATGGTCAATTGCAAGTATCTACCACTGTTCCTCCTACACCTCACCACAGACTGAGCCATAGTGCAGCTGTTCCTGCACTTAATGTGAATCCTTCAGACTTTCCTACAGGTCAATCTCAAGATCAGTGGCAACATATGTCAGCTAGACAACCACCTGGTTCTGCATCATGGAATGAGTATCCAAATGATCCCAACCTGGTGCGCTACCTCAAGCTTGGTCGCCGCCACACTCTTGGTGCTGCACAAAATCACATGTTGATACCTCCAAGTGACCTAGGCCACCTCCGTGAAGCCAGTGAATGTTCAAGTCAAACTAGCAATGACATCAGCATCAATGTCAGTACTGCTATTTCACCCCCTCATGAGCCACTAAGCCTTCGTAGTGCACTTGGTGGTGAACAGGCAGATGCTCACTCTTCGCAATCTGGAAGCAGTCCATTGTCAAGAGCCACTTTAATGCAACCGCAAGTTAGAGCACGCATGGGAAGGCGAGCTTCTGATGGAGGCCCTTATGCTGCTGTGTTCCGTCTCTACTTGGAGAAGCGGATGCCTCAGCTGGCACAAATTAACAGCCGAGGCTCCTTGTGTGAAAGTGCCACACATAGCTCTACAAGCAGTGTAAAGCAGCTCTTGCAAGAAAAGAAATCTCAGGAGACTCAAGTTGGAAAGCAATCAACACAGTCAAAGGAGTGGCTTCAATATAAAGATCAGGTACATAGTTATGATCATAGCCTGGTCCCATAAGCAATTGGTAGGGTAGAAGGTACCACTTACATGCATAAACAATAAACCAGAATGTGAACGTGCCTGTAGCCATCATACATATAATTAGTATGTGGGTGTGTGTGCTTTTTGAAGATTTGAGCCTCCACAAGCTGAGTTGCCAAACTAGCTAAGGTAATAGAGCAGAGAATACAAATTTCGATTCCAACTCAAGGGAGATCTTTTAGTTGTCATGGGTGTAGGGATGTAGTATGTTGTTTAAAGTTTTGTTAGCACATTAATTTGCCTATGTGGCATGTTGTTTAAGGTTTTGTTAGCACATGAATTTGTCATTGCATGTTTGTATCAACTGCTTCTAGTTTAAAACATGGTGCAGGAATAACAGGTAGGTGGATGACAGAAGAATTATTTAGGTAGAAGAAAGAACCAGTTTTTGTCCGGATGTCGAACTCAGCCAGTGCACTGAGCACTGAACTACAACTACCAGATAAAAGCTGGTCTTTCCCTATCCCTTTAAGTACTACTGCCAGTGGTCATTGCCTATGTGGCAAACTCATAAAGGCAAGCACTTTGTACTGGCAGATTGCTTAACAGCAAGAGGTCTGTGGGAACGTGATAGACCTAAAACTCGCTTAGTGCATGTGTATGTCTCTGTCTGTTCCTCCACCTATTGCCGTGTTTCTACCACCACACAAAATGAAAAGCACTGAAGTGCAAACCCTCGGCGAACTGCGCAAGCGTGATACCGCTAATTGATGGGCTGGGCCGTAGTGTGCATTTACTCGTGGTCTTCTGCTACTAGCTTGCGGAGAGTCTGACATGGGCTAGCTACATTAGTAGAAAGCATGCAGGAGTCGGTACACTCCCTCCATTGTGGCTTCCTGAACCTCCAAGGCAAGCACATCTTGTCGAGGTAAGCCATGGACTAGTTACACTACTAGATAGCATGCGAGAGTCAATACTTGCCTTGCATTGCAACTTTTGATGCCTCTAAGGTTCACGCAGAGCAAATGGATATGGTCGAGGTAAGCCTGTGCTAATTTGCATATTGGCTTTATCACTATGTTTTACACCATATTTCTCGAATGCAGTAGTTTTATGAAATTCGCCAAATTTAGGATCAAGCCAGTGTAGTGCTGAACTTTTTGGTATCGCTATTTCGTTGTGTCGCTGTGCGTGGTGGCAGAAAACGTGGTAACAGACAGACGGACACAGTAGTACACAAGTCAAAGTTCTAAGTTCATATCAGCCTCAGAGGATATCATACACATACACATGAATACAAGAGCAAGGCATGGATAACAAAAGTCAGCTCTAGAAAGATTTGGAGAGATGCCTAGGACGCCTTGGCCCTGCTGCCACGCGAGTGACAGCTAGGGCTGTTACTAAGAAGAAGAGGTAGAAGTATAGATAGATACCAACATTTACTTGTGAGGAAAAAACCCTTGGCATAGACCCAAAGCCTGACGAAAGCAGCTACATAGCCGCCATCACCTGCCACCATCGCGGGGAGGCGTCGTAACCCTCGCTGCACATGCGTGCCGAGGATTAACAACTAATTTAAGTGCACAACCGCTCCGCACAACCTACAGGAAGTAATAATCCTGCGAATTTAAAAAAGAGGCATACAGAGATGGTGTAAGATGAAAGGGAGAAAAGATAAGGATGGGATACATGAAGCATGGTTGACGAAGAGATTTGACCGTACTGACAACCCGACCCAATCACAGAGTGTGCCACTCTTAAACTCAATTTGGACTCTTAATGGTGTTGGTTATTCAGTAGCGTATTCACATTTACCAAGGCAACAATATTGGTATTGAGCATGGTCAATTATCTTGTCAACCATGCTTCATGTATCTCATCCCTATCTTGTCTCCCTTTCTTCTTGTAGCCTAGAAGCCAAAAAAGCTTCCAACAACAGCATATTGGTAGTACCCACAACCGGCACTGACACTAGTGAAGTATATTTCCGCCGTTAATTGCATTCCTGTGGCCCTATACCACTTGGGCAGAGCAGAGGTTTGTGAAAAACACTAGCACTCGGTGACCTCGGGAGCTACAGACGCTAGTTTTGTCACTGGTTTGGTTTTTACTTCCTTGGTGGGTTGATTTTCCAGGTTCTACCTAATTCTCGCTTGCGCAAATTGCTGACACTAAGCTGTCGTGCACGTATGGCATGCGACGTTTAGAAGCGGCAACATGGGATCTGTCGTAGTAGTCTTGTGTAGCAGCCAGGACTGGCTTCGTGAGACTACTGTCCGAGTTTTCTAGGCTGCAGATAGGTTAATGTTAATCCATGGGTTTGGAAGACGTACGGGTCTATACCCTCGGTGCTTATCTGTACAGGCCTCATGTGGTACTGATAAGCACCTCAGGTATATTCCCTGTATACCCTCCAAACCCATGGGTTAACCTATACTTGACTAAGCATAAGATCACCAGCTAGTCCAAACAACGTAGATGCGATAGTGAGTGCTTCCTGCTGATTGTACGAGTAGTTAGAACAGGCCATACGATTTCCCCATACTCTAGCTGCATGTCAACTCATTTGCTTAAACCACAGTGGGTGTGGAATGCAATTAGGGGCTGTACACTCTTCGTGTGCCGCTGTTTCTTTGCCAGAACGGACTATTTTCATATTATTAATGGCAGCCAATTCTACTTTCAATGGCCAGATACCTTTGCACCTTTGTTCGTACTACATTCGTTTCTTCATCTGCTTGTGCTTTCTGTATATAGCAGGATGGAGTACCGTGCGTCTATTTGATGGGGCATGGGGATTGGATTAAACTCTCTGGCACGAAAAATTTTTTTTCGTAGGTCTGTCCTCTGTGTTGGTAGTAGCTCCTGTCAGGATTTCATTTGAAATAGGCTGTAACCCAGGCTCGATACTTACGTTGTGACACACTTCTGTGAGCAAAGTAGCGGTCAGATCACGGATTTCATTGTGTCTAATGGACGGGAATCTCCACTTGGACATGACAATGCATGTTTAACTGAGGAAATTTCTTTTCACGGGCACATTTTGGAGGGTGACCAGCCATATCTGAGGGCTAGTTCGTCGTGGAAGGCCCCTTTGTGGAGGGCAAAAAACTATGCTCCATTAGAGGAAGGGCTGTCAGCCAGGTCGAAGACCCTTTCTTAGTTGCCAAGTCAGGGGGCTCTTTGTAGTGAGACCGGAAAATATTCATAAACCTCGTTGAACTCAGATGAAGTTCTCTCCTTTGTTGTTTGGTTTTTTAGTAGAAGAAAACACCCTATCATAGCCCCCTACATCTAAGATGCTAGGTACCATGCCCATCCCCATATACTAAGTACTACTAGGAATGCGCACGTGCATATTTTGCCTCGTGCCTGCCAGCCAATGCCCGACTGAGGCTGCTTGTGCGCGCGCTCTACTGACTGCGCGCGAAGCCAGACTTCCTACGAATCTGCACGCACGGCGGAAGCTAGACTTGTTACGAATGACGGAAGTTGACATTCCTAAGCGTGACTAATTGACATTCCCTAAGCGTGACTAACTGACATTCTTAAGCGTGACCGACACGTACGTACGCATATCGCGAGAATACAACCCGGAGTAGTAGCCTCGCGCTAATGCACTCGGCAATGATACTGGCAGTGTTTGACTAAAGTTCGCAATCTTTGCATGCATGAATTTTTCTTCTTCGTATTTCATCAATGAATGTGGACATAGTGAACAGCACATAACAACATACTTGTGTACAGTCAGTGTTGACATTCTACATTCTTGTACTGTATACTTCTTATTTCACATAGGACATTGTACATTACTCATTTTTTTAATCCAATTTAGATTTTACATCATAAGCAGCTGTCTTCTACTTCATGCAACCCTGCCACTGCAGAATCCTTGGTTCCAATCCAGCCAACACAAAATTGCAATACACCGAATGGTATGGAAGACCATATTTGTCGCAACAGCTTACGGGCTCAAGTTCAACCATTCCAAACATATACCCCTCAGCAAATACAAGAGCAATTGCAGCATCTTCACATTCAACAACACAGCGAGGCTGATACTGTACAAGTCGCTAAATTGTTCGAGCAATCTCACATCACCCCAGCAACTAGGGAGCAACAAAGTGGGGTAGAGATTAAGAGAGAGGTGCTTCCAGTGCAAGATAGTGGTAATTCAGTGTTGCACCACTTGCTCTTGCGTACTTCAACGCCTGCTGCACTGAGCAATAGTGTACAAACAAATCGAGTTGATTACAACCGTAGTCATCCAGAACATGTTTTGATGTCCCAGCAACAGCAGCGACAAAAGTCTGCTATCACGCCATTAGATCTTTCAGCTATGCTAAGCAATGTTGCTTCTTATACAAGTAAGGATCTGCCGTCATTCCCTGTGAACATACAGGCTCACTCTCCAACCAAAGGAATAGAAAGGCGTACCCCTGTGGAAGACTACCAGATGGCATCAATTGCAGAAGTTACAAGGGAAAAAGTTGTTGGTGGGATACCAGACCGTGTGGTAGTTGCCACCCACCCTGGGATTTCACTTCAGTATGCATTATCAAACGGGTCAGAGCAACATAATGAGAAAACATATCCTTGTTCTAATTGGACTGGTGAGGTATTTTCCAGTAATGATCACACGCAGATTTTACAGCATGGCGACTCCTGCAACCCAGTAACACTGCCTACCTCCACATCACCCTCCCATTCTATCACAAACCATATTTTGAATGTATTAAACAGCAATCAACTGCAGCATTATCAGACTAGCAGTGGAATTGTTGTAGAACATGAAAGGGTAAAGTTTTTGATAGTTTGCAACGTACCACATCTTAACACTATTCATATGCAATTTATTGCTGGAGATCCAATGCAGTATCAAACGCTCAGTTCACACCTGGCCACCCAGCTTCAATTCATTCAATAGTATGTTGCCTTGTATTGCTTAAAGATGTTTTTATTCATATACATATTTTTCATGCAATGTATTTTGAGGTGCTTCAAAATCAATTTTACATCTTTCCACCACTTAAACTGAAGGGGAATCTTGGTTTATTAGGGTTAGAGGAGGTAGCACACGATAAACATTTCGCGCATGCGGCAATCAAGTATCACAGATACAAGAAGACGGGGGCAGTATTGCGTGCTCAGAAAATGCCATTTAAACAACAACATATTACACTATACGGCAAGATACATGTTCCATATGTTCAGTAGTAGGTTTCCTTTACTAACCAACCTGTATAGCAAAGAGTTTTGCATCAACAATAATGAAAACAGAAGTTGTAAAAAAAGAGAAGAATTAGTATACATGCCTTTGGTTTATTGTACCCAAGGGAGAGTAAACCACCACATACCAACTAGGCATGCTGTATTGCAAATAGTGACGTCAAAATCCAACAATTACCATTGTAACTATTTTGGTTAAAAAAAAGAAAAGCACTGAAGTGTAAACCCACGGCGCACTGTGACGCGTACGTGTATGTAAACGCATGAGCCGTACCACTAATTGATGGGCTGGTCTCGCGCAGTCTGACGCGGGCTAACTACACTACTAAATAGCATGCGAGAGGCGATACACCCCTGCGTTGCATTCTGGTGCCTCCGAAGTACGCAGAGCACGCGGATCGATCCGACTGTGGTAAGCCATCCTGTCCGTTGTGTATTTGCATATTGGCTTTTTCGCGCTCTAGCTTTGCAACAGAGCAGTTTCAGAGAAAAGCGTTCGAAATTGGTGACTTTCATTGCCCGTTAAGTAGGTCGTATCCTTTGTGAGACGAACAAACACCCGAGAAGTGAGATTGAGAGTAACAGACAGACAGACACACACACAGACAGACCCAACTACAGTAACCCTCGCTGCGCATGTGCGCCGAGGGCTAATGACAAAATAAAACCAGGGATCCACATTTGTTTCTTCTGCTTCGAGAGTAGATGCGAACACCTACACACACGAGTTACAGTAACGCATACAGTGAACATTGTTTCCAAAATAATATTAGTATGACCATCCATGCACATCTGGCTATTACATGGGTGTTGTATGTTATTTCGTTTTGAGTTAAGGTTGTTGAATACATATTCAGTTGCCAGAATCAAGAACACAACAATACATGTTTCTTAATCGCCTCAGCAATTTCTTACTTCATCAATCCTCTACTTGATAACAACAGCACGCATGGAGATTACATGACGTATGTATATGTATTACTATAGCAAAAAGTACCCTCAGGCACGTGTGTTCTACGTATAAAAGGTATAAATGTGTGACGCACTTACTTCGGCGCTATGACAGGGGTTCAGTACTGGGCAACACACACATCTAGCTGGGTGAATGGTCTACCTTATATACGGTGTGTGGTGACTGGGCTTGTGAGTGAGGTGATAACAGAGGTAGTCTGTGTGCTAGCTAAGGGCAATACAACAAGGTGGAGATGTGCAAACAGAGTCTCTCTGACTGTGTCCGTGTTACAAATGTGCATGTGTAATGATCAGTCTTGTTCCACACACGTCCACAATTGATGACCACTACGTGCTTCTCTACACTCACCATGTCCGTGGACTCATGTGTCCGGCCGAGTCTCTACCGTGAACATAAAGCTCCTGCCATTCTGGCCATCCGATCCAGGTCTGGTTCGCCCAGGTAGAGGCACAGTTTAGGACTCCCGGAATAACAGCTCAGAAAACAAATTCGACTACATCATCGCCTCTCTCACTCCCAGTACGGCACTGAAGTGCGCACTGCGCAATACAATCCTGCACCCTCCCGTGACTCGACTGTACGACAGTCTTTGGAAGCAGCTGATCAAACGTACGGCATTGTCCGAACAACATCACGTCCGAAGAGCTGGGTGACCGCAAGCCATCCCACAGGCCACGGAGCAGCGGCCACTGACGACGCCCTCGTCTGAGGACTGTTTGTACAGCAACTCCCTCACGCCGCCACCGGTCACCGATTCCCCGCCGTCGAACTGGACAACGATATCTTGTAGACACAGGAGCCGAAGTCAACGTCATTCCACCCTCTCGCACTGAGCGTCACAGACAACCTGACCACCTTACACTACAAGCTGTTAACAACACTTCCATGCGGACACACAGGAAACGATCTCTTACGCTGGATCTGGGACTCCGCCGCATGTTCCGGTGGATGTTTGTTCCGCCGACATCAAACACCCTATCCTCAGAGCAGACTTCTTGCGCCATTTTGGCGTCGTAGTCGACATGCGTCATCACCGCCTCTCTGATGGACTCACTCACCTTCATATCCAGGGGACACATGCAATGCGAAGTCCCCAAGTCTGTCGGTTCTGCGGCGGAAGCCCTATGACAAAATCCTAGCCGAGTTTCCCTCACTGCACTTCGGATGCCCCCCCATCAGACATGATGTCACCCATCACATTGAGCTCGCGCTCGCCGTCTTGGCCCCAACTGACCGTCTTTGGGTAGCACGCCAAGAATTTGACCATATGCTGGAGTTGGGGCGCCATCCAACCATACTCCAGTAACTGCTCGTCACCCCTCCATATGGTCCCGAAGAAGACCCCTGGTGACTTGCGCCCATATGGAGATTACCAAGCACTCAACAGCCACACCACCCTAGACCCCAATCTCACACCACAACACTCGCGGGCTCCACAATCTTATCAAAAGTGAACCTAGTCCGAGCATATCACCAGATCGCGGTCGAACCGGCCGACATCCCAAAGACAGCTGTCATCACTCCGTTTGGTCTGTTTGAATTCCTGCTGATGCCATTTGGATCAGACATTCCAGCGTTTCATTGACCAAGTCCTCAGAGGTCTGCACTTTGTCTATGCCTACATTGATGAACCCTGTCAGTTCAAGCCCCTAGGAGCATCAAGACCACTTGTGATTGGTCTTTCAGCGTCTCAGCAACCATGCCGTATTGATCAACCCGACGAAGTGTGAGTTAGGTGTTACATTGCTTCAGTTCCTGGAACACCAGATCAACAGTGCTGGCATATGTCCCATCGATCAGAAGGTGCAGGTCATCCATGACTTTCCCCAACCAACCACATATCGTCTGCATGAGTTTTGGGGTATGTATGGCTGGTCAATTTTTACAACCGTTTTCTCCCACACGCAGCAGATCTGCTTCATCCTCTCGATGAGATACTCTCTGGGGTGTCACAAGCAGAGCCAAGCACTCGCGTGGACAGACGAAGCACAAGCACCTTTTCAAAGTGGCACTGGTAAATGTTTCCCACCCACTGCCAGCTGCCCCCTTGGCTATTATGTCAGATGCCTCCAACATCACCACCGGAGAAGTTCACAGATAGACGGCCATTGGCATCTAATCTCATAGTTTTTGAAAAAAACTAACTCTACCAAAAGATGCTACAGCGCGTTTGACTGAAAGCTCCAGCTCCATTTTATTTCGCATTTTACATATTCGATATTCGCGGAACCAACAACCCTGTCGCCGATGCCCTGTCGCGAATTGAAATCAATGCACTCGGCCAGGGACAAGACATTAAGCAATGGCGAAAGCACAGTTAGAAGACCCAGACCTCGCCACACTCAAATCTTCCTCATCGCTAAAGCTTAGCATGACCCCCGTCCCCGCCTCGTGTTACGCTCGTTTGCGACCTGGACAGGAGTCCCGTGCCCTGTGATTCCCTTCTCATTCAGACATGCTGTATTCTACAGTCTGCACTCCCTCTCACATCCTTGGGTACGGGCAACCGAACGCCTTATCACAAGTCGTATACGCGATCTAACATTCAAAGTGACATGCACAGTCATGCCTACAGTGTCAGAGATCTAAGGTACAGAGGCACACTATATAACACCCATGCCACGTTCTCAAGGGTTCACTTACCACCTCACCTTCGTCGACTGTTTCACCAGCTGGCCAGAGGCCGGAGATGGCTGCAGAAACATTTGTGAGTGGGTGGATCACACGTTTTGGCACACCCTCCACCATCGCCACTGACTGCAAATCCGCACCATATTCTACCATCCCATTGCTAATGGTCTAGTCGAGCGATTCCACCACCAACTGAAGGCGTCACTAAAGTCCCAGCCTGACACAACCTGCTGGACCGAAGCACTTCCGCTGGTCCTGCTCAATATTTGGACATGTGTCTTGTGAGGAATTGTAAATGTTGGGCTGTTGTTGGATCTGGCTGGTATACATGCACGAAGTGCGCGTAAATACATACATACGGTGTGTTACTGCTACTTCATAACTTCATTGTTGCCAAGCTATAGAGTGGAGTCCAAAAAATTATCACTTGCAATGTTCAATACTCCACACTAACTCTATCGCTGTATCGAACTGGTAGGCAAGTTTAGGTGAAGCCTAGGTAATACCTTAAAATAGTATCCATCACTTTAAATGGGCATCAAATTATTGCTTTTGTGGCGTTTACTCACACCCACATCTATATTGCCAGGTATATTAGAGTGTAACCACCACTATGTACCATAACATAATTACGTCTTTGTTAGACAATACATGGGGCTACTATCTACCCCCTACTTCAGGCACCAGCAGCCCATTAGCTACTTCTTTCATTAGTTAGAGTTTTCCCATGGTAAACCTCTCATAGAACATACCCATGAACATCAGAGTTGTAATATGCAGTGTTGTCATAAGCTGTTAAAAATGGTGGAAACAAGTGGAAAAATCAAAATTGAGGGGATATAGGGATGGCTTGAAGCACCAAAAAGGAAGAAACAAGGGGCCAAAGATGCACAAAGCTATGTGTCACCATCCATATATCTTGTTCATAAGCAAAGTACATGTATGTAGGGATGGTGAATGTTGCTTTGTGCATCTTTGCTGTGTAATGTTTAGCCATCCCTATATATCCCTTCTTTTTAAAAAAGATTTTTCCACTTGTACCAATAATTACCCTAGACTTTTTTCATTGTGTATCTGCATTATAAGTATGCCATACCATTTGGGTGCCTTCGTATCAGCCACTTTCTTGTCTCGTCATAAAATGAATATGACAATGCTGAATCCCATAGCTAAGCACCACCATTCTCCCCTTTAATGATGAAGAAAAAACATAGTTATGCTCTATGCATAGTATTTTTATTTGGTCACCAGTTTGGTATTTGACATATGTGAATGGCTCTGTAATGTATGAC